GCTCAGCTGGGAGAGCGTGAGACTGAAGATCTTAAGGCCGTGTGTTCAATCCACACAGGTCGCATTTTTTGTTTCATTATCTTTTTAATTTCATTTTTAATGCTACATGTGACAAAGCTAATTGTTGGCACATATGAGCGGTTGATATTTGTCTTTGACATTCTCAAAACGCCAGAAGGAGCAGAACCCAATGAGGTGAGGTGAAATATTTATACTCTATCCTAGTATACCATTAAAAAAGCAGCTGGATTCAAAATACATGAGGGCCCTATTCTGACCCTCTCAGCATCAAAATCTATGTTGGTCTCTGGGACAGCTGACGAGCTCAAGCTCACAAATATGGAGCGATATCAAGAATCTGGCATACTCTTGCAGGCGCAAGAAGGTACAAAGACAATGTTTTTCCTAGTATCGCTGACCAAGAGCATTCTCCATGAAGAAAAATTTTTGTTCGTTGCATTCGAGGATGGCACTATCTCTGTGCTCTCTATCGCTGATTCGGAGCTCATAAAAAAGCTCTCAGTTGGGAAAGGCAAAGCATCGGTCACAGACTTTGCTATTCACCCTTCAGGCAAGATTTTAATGGCTGTGTGCCGTAAAAAAGCCACAGCCGCCCTCTTTGATTTAATCAAAGGCCAGAGGGTTGTCAAAACCAAGCTTCCGATGCATCCAGACTCAATCAGGTTTTCACCTCTCGGCACCAAATACGCTATCCTCGCTCAGAAGGGTCTCGAATGTCGCGTGAACATCCACGAGCTCTTTCCGGCCTCCAATGGAGTTGGCTCAGATTCCGAGCCAACATCTAGTTCGATATCCGATCCAAATTTCTCGCGCAATGAGTTGCCAAAATCCGAGGATGCTACAAATGCGAACATATCCAGTGAGAAAGCTAAAGCTGACGCGGATCCCAACGCATCCAAAATTTCTGAAAAGAGCCCTTTTGGCGCGGTTAGCATATCGTCTGGACGAAAAATCACAGCCATGGAGTTCATCTCGGAAGAATCTATTGCGATTGCAGAACACCCAAATTTGGTCTCCATCTATTCGTTGGCCGAAGATCGCCCCGCAAAGACGGCATCACTTACCGATGTACCGAGGTAAGTAGCTTTGCTAATGGCATAGAAACTCTTCTACTGCTGGTAGCAGAATAAATGCTATTGAACGGATACCTGGTTCTGCCCTCTTCTTGACAACAACCACGGATGGGATAATTCAGCTTTGGGCTCTCAATGATCAAAATGCCGCAGTTCCCCTCGCCCATATAACTATCCCATACCGCATCACCGCAGTTTGCATTTCCGCCGCATAAAGAGCATACCCTGGAATGCTTTGTATAACGTCTAGACGTTACCCTTTGGATGGCCTTCAAATCAAAACGTTTACGAATAATAAATTGCATTCATATCGGAGGATGGATAATTTATTTCCGTTTTGCTTGCTATGTGTGTTTGAAAAGGTTATGTTCAGCTTTTGGCGCCCGCTTGGTGGCCGGCCGCAGAGGAGCGGGCCCATCGGTTGCCGCAAAGCGCATCTCCATCTCGACAATATGTTTTTGCACCTAGGAAAGATATAAATCGCCAACCTTCCGTAGCTCGCTCAATAAAAAGAGCGCAGAAGGCACAGTAAAGAACGGGTCAAAATCGGCTGATGGGGAATCCGGCCCAGATCCTAGTTGGTATCTATTATTACGAAGGGGTTTTAAAGTACGCAGAAAGGGCACTAACGGACAGTGAAAAGCAATCCCGAAGATGGTCAAAACTTCTAGGCGTGGAATGGTACAGCCGCCCTAAAGCTGCCCCGCAACTGCAGTTCAATAGCGAGTAGGTGCTGCAAGATAGAAACCGATATTTAGTACCTGGCAATAAGGGAGTTTTAGAATTACCTATAATCGATGTGGAAATCTCACCGTTACCTAAAACTGAATGTGGCCGTATTTTACCTAAAATCAAATTTGGGTCCTGCCTACCTTCTGTAGTCAAAAGCTGCAGTGTCAAATTGCGTCAAGATTTCGGATCCGATGGCAACATGGGGTGACCGTCCTAGCGTGAAAAGATGGGTTTACTTGCAAGAGTAACTATTCCTGCAGACTCGTCAGAAGCTACAAAAGAGAGTGTGTCGCCCAACACGCGCCTACACGCGCCACACTGAAAAACCACGGGCGCAGCCGGGTCGTCCTCTGACATAAGGATTTAGAATTAATTTAGATCCACACTAGGGTTAGTGGAATGTTGAAGCCTATTGGAGTTATAATTTGCAGCTTGAGAGCCTTCCAATGACGACACTCGCAGTTGCGCGGTCAATGTTGCGTGTAAACCACGCGGGCGAGCTGACAGCGCGACGCATATATGAAGGACAACTAGCTGTTTTACGGGTACTCGATCCTGAGACGGTCCCTCTCGTCCAGGTAACTTTGGCTTTCCCAACGATAGAAAATGTATGAACAAGAGCAAGGCCACTTTGTGCTGTTTGAAGACCTTGTTAAAGGATATGGGGCGCGACCCACGATTTTACAGCCACTCTGCAATGCAGGCGGCTGGCTGCTAGGCGCCGCTACAGCATTCGCAGGCCGCTCCACAGCCATGGCATGCACTGAAGCCGTGGAGACGGTCGTCGGAAATCATTATAGCATGCAACTACGCGAGCTTCTTGATGGTCTTCGCAAAGAACATGGTACGACTAATCATGATGCCTCACAAACCGACCTCCAGGATCAGTATTCCAATTTAGACTGTCAAAAACTTTCATCCACCCAAACAGACATCGGGTCAGCATCCAATTCAGAATATAATGGCTACAGAAAAGAGCACTCCGTTCTTGGTGCGGCGGAGACTCATAAACTTGCTACTTCCATTGCAAAGTGTCGTGATGAAGAGCTGGAACATTTGGATGCGGCTTTGGAGCATGGCGCGCGTAGTTCGCCGATCTACAAAGTGGCATTTCCGTTGATTGCCGCGGGCGTCTCTGCAGCTATTGCGCTCGCTCGTCGTTTCTGATATGTAGACATGGATATGAGCATTTAAATATTTGAACATATATGCGATGCTTCATGTTCCCATAAACTATCAAAGTCAATGGCTTATGGTTTGCCGTTAAATAGGGGTGAAAGTTTATTGCAGCAACGGCCTTTCACGTAGGTATTGTCAAGGATTTGGTACGGCAAGCAGATGTAATGCGACGATGCGCCGAATTTGCGACACAGTGCGAGAGTCGGGTCCGTCGATTTCCTATGCTGATTGGAAGATAAAGCCTACCACTATGGGGGACTGAGTGCCAGATGTGATTCGCAGGTGGTACGGCGCCTTCTCCTGCTTCTCTGCGACAATGATTTCCCAGCCATCAGAGACTCGCTGCACTTCTTCATAATAGTTTGCGAGTAGCTCTCCAATGGCATCAGAAGTGCGGTAGCAACCTGCATCTGGGCCATGATCATGGTCAGTATGGCCCTTTTCGGAGCCGTGAATGTGATCCTTTTTAGTGGCGCTGCAACAAGTAGAAATTGACGCTGGAGTGCCCTCCACAGCTGTGAGCATTGCAACAAGAGCATCGGCCATCATTTCAACAAGTGGTGAAGAAGAGCGCCAGCTCACGAGAAGCGAAAGCCCACCGTCCTCTGCGACAAGAGTAATTTCGCCCTGAAGCAAAGAAAGCATCCCATCGACCGTAGAAGACCGGACATTGGCGGCACCCACCAGCTGAACTACCTGCAAAAAGGAAAAGTTAACGAGTACCTGCTCGTGAACTAACGCCCAAGGTGCTGAAGATGTGACTCTTACCGCGCCACTAGCAGAGCCCTGTCGCAGCATTCCAGAGCTATGCGCCGCAAGATCCTCCGGTGCTGCAATCGTCAATTCCCATCCGCGATCCAGCAAGGCCACGGCATCGACGGACGGAAGAGACATTGGTTTAGGGGATGTAGGCGTTGCATTTGCAATATCCTCCCCGTTGCTGGCAACATCTGCAACGCCAGCGGCATGCAGGGCCGCCGCAAGGGAGCCTGCAACGCGAGCTACGCGCCGCTCACCAAAGGCAATTTCTAATGCCTCACAGTTTCTCGGTGTGTGCACCGTAGTAGCGGCGGAAGCCGCTATGTCGCCACTTTTGTGCTCAGCTTCGGCATCATACTTGTGCTGTAAGGCATTTCTAAGCCGCATCATTTCATTATATTCGCCATGCACAAGCACTAGATGCCTTGGAGACAGCTCCTCAATAAAGTGTGCGTTTTGGATGAAATCTACGTGCGCGCTGAATGAGATACTCTCTACAGCCATTCGGAAGGGCAACGCCCTTTTAGTGGAAAGGGAGGAAATCTCGGTTGGTTCACCTTGAAGCAGAGATTTTGCGAGCGTGCCCTCCWCAGAATACCCTGTCAAGATAAGCCCGTTTCGGGCGTCGCCGCACCATGCCTCTAATAAATCGCGCGAAAGCCCGCTTTGCAACATTCCTGGAGAGGCCATCACCACGCACGGTCCTGGAAGTGAGGCAGCCTGTCCTGCAGCAGCTCCTCGTAGGCTTGTCACGTGGCGAAATATATTTGAAGAGGTGATTGATGCAGATGCACCGTCTGAGCCTGTGCCCATCATGTGAAGATAAGTGGAGTATATTGTCAGGCATTTCTTGGTGAGTGAAGAGGCATAGTAGATGGGAACTGAGCGAAGTTCTGGGTGTTTTTCCCAGTACTCGTCCAAAATCAGTAGCAGCTCATGCGCCTTGCCTAGTGCAAAGACTGGTAAGAGACAGCGACCGCCACGCTGCACGATCTCATGTACCCGGCTGGTAAAGCGCCGCTCGCGTTCTGCCTGTGGCTCGTGCGCTTGCACACCATAAGTTGCCTCGCAAATCATGACGTCCGGTGCGGGACCCGGTGGCCGCTCAGCGGCCCGCAAATGCCGATCTTGCTCCCGCGAGTAGTCACCTGTGTACAGAATTCGTAGCCCTGGATGTGTAAACTAAAATGTGTTGTCTCACCTAAGAAATAAAACCATTTTTCCTACCTATCGGTAATTAGGAAGTTGTGATACCTGTAATTTCGATTACGAACATAGCTGCGCCCAGCACGTGGCCCGCATGGTATGGTGTAAAGCGGATGGAGCCGTCCCCGCAAACATCAATCTCCTGGTGATAGTCAACGGCGATAATACGCTCGTAAGATGCTTGTAGATCACGCTCGTCAAAAAGCAACTCTGCAGGAGTTGCTGCTAGACGTATCAAGTCCAGCAACAGCCATTTGTAGATTGCCTTTGTCGGGTGTGTCATGTAGACCTTGCCACGGAAAGATGTGCGTTGCATAAAGTACGGCAACGACGCAATATGGTCCAAGTGGAAACTAGAATTACCATCATCAAAGGCTACTGTGTAATCAGGATGAGGTCGATGGAAGTGGGGTCGATGGCATCAAAAAAGGGCAACGATGCTATGCCTGAATGGGCGGGATGAATGCCGCAGTCCAGCAGCACATTTTTGCCCCGGAACGAGAGCAAGATGGCAGAGCGTCCCACCTCATTCCCCGCTCCGAGCGGCATGACAGTTAGGCTGGCCGCAGACATGGTCGAATTAAAAACTAAATTTGGCACATTCAAGTTTTTCCACCAAAACCCGGTAATTAGCACTGGAACCTGTTCGGCTCTTAGATTTATTAGCTGTGACGAGTCGCTTCGACTTGCAATGGATATAGCCGGACAGCCCATGCCGTACGGCTGTCGACTGACGGCGGGGAAATCAGAGGAATGTTGTCCTCATCATCATCGTCCTCCTCCTCATGTTCAGCAGAAAAGGCATGGGATGATGCTGGGGCAGAATTCCGTGCCTGTTGGTGCTTGATGGTTCGGACGTGGTTATGTAGGTGCCTTCGATACTTTTCCTTTTCATGAAATACCTTTGCGCAGCGAGGCACCTCGCAGAGGTACCCTTCATCTGCAGCGGCCGGAATCCGCTTTAATAACGATGAGAGAAGCTTAATCACCGCATCACCCTCAGCGGCTGTCGTACCATTGATTTGCGGAGCCACAATTGTACTTTGACGGCGATTTTGTCGCCTACGAGCAGATGATGTGCCGCCGTCGCATCGTATCCATACAGGGACGGAAATCGATGCCGAAGATACAGGCACTGTTCCGATCGAAATTTCTGCCGTAGGATCAGATCCAATTCCATGGAGATCAGCCTGGGCTCTAAGCCAAGGCCGCAGGCGAATTGATCGCATCTCCTGCACGAATGCTCGCATGTCTGAAATATAACCGGGCAAATCCTGGATACGCGGGGCACCTTTTGACCCGGCTGCAGATGGCTTTGAGGCAGGTGTGGATGTTTTTGAATTCGATTGTGTAGTCGTCCTGGATGCTGTGGAAACTGCCTTGATGGTTGAGGGGATCATAGAAGCTACCTTGGTCCCCATTGACGGCTTAATGGTAGAAGCAGGAGAAGTCACCTTAGCCGTAATTTGACGACCCTTCATGATAGATGGTTTCGAAGAGGCACTCAAATGCTGTGCCTTTCGTGCCGTCAAAAGTGGAGGCGGCGGGGCTTTCCGTTTAGGCCTTTTGATGGAAGAAGCGGCGCCCATGCCATCGGGCTCAGAAGATACCTCAGAAATAATATCGACATTTACATCGACATCGCCATAGGTTGGTATATCGCTTTCCTCGTGACCAGGGATTTTGAACTTGATAATCCTAATTGCAGATTGTCCAGAGATCGTAGAGGAAGCGGAAGATGGTGAAGAAGACGAAGGAGGTGAAGACGACGTGCCCCATTCTCCATCATATTGTCCATACTCGCGATTTCCATTTTCCTTTTCTTCTGATTGCTCGTCACTCGAAACCTGCTCGTCTAGTTGATCCTCATCCGACTTGTAAATCCCTTCAGATTTATACCTGCGATTGGGGAATCCGGAGGCATCTGTGGCGAGCGGGCGCCTACTAGCGACGGCGGCGATCTCCTCCATTACAAAATTTGGGGCGAGGTTTGGTTGATTCCCGTGATGTTATGCAAATCTCCAGTGTTSAGTGTAAATCCACAGCCTCCCTCCATTGGGCCAATGGTGCTCATTAAATTTGGCCATAAATTTTACAACCTTCAAACGGTTAGTATCTCCAATCAGAATGACCCACCACTACCAATGTACGTGGCGGCCATGGCGGTCGCCGTCGGCTGGCATTTGGTTTATCGCCATGAGCAATTCCATTAGAATTCCCGCAGATAGAGCAGTAGCTCTTCGTCCTTATTCTAGGAAATAACGCCCATCGCAGCAATCTTTCCTGCCTGCGGCCGCAAGGCACTTTTCTTTTGGGATGGGAATGGCACATCCTCGCTTTCCGTTGGAGGACCAATGCCTGTGGCGATCTCGGGACAAATGGATGACATAGCCATTATTGGCATTGACCCTAGGGCAATTAAGCTGCTGGAGGTTACAAAGCCTTTGTTATACATAGATTCCCGATGACGACTCTCAAAGAAGCGTTATTATTCAGCCTCTCGACCCATCGACAATCCCCATTGCTAACCAAGAAATATCTATTGTGCCGCTGAGTACTCTTGACTGGCAGCTTTTTGTATTTCCATTTCTTCATATGGTAGAACCAATATGCGTCAAGGATCGAGAACGAGTTTCTGACGCAAATCAAGGCCATTTCTACAGAGTATCTCCCGAAGATGTTTATTTTTGTGGATGAGAAGCGAATTGGATTTGGCATCGATCAAGCGACCCCGCTCCCATCGCCAATTATGAGGATCGGATTGGGAACAGAGATTATCGTTTCTCCGCCCATAACGAACGGTTGCCTCAATAAAGGCAATGGCCGTGTCCTCCCTTCATTTAACAGCGATTGCTTCTCTTTTGAGATTTTTTTCCACGCTGATTCTTTCTCTGATGGTTTGTCTTATGAGACTCTTTCTCCTGGATGGATTTCGCTTATTGGCCTGTCAACGGACGAGAAACCCAGTCCCTCTGCATTTTTCTATCTCAATAGAGCCCATGTAGAGTTACAAACAAGGCCCTGCAGTCCTATTTTCTATTTATCCCCACAGGCAGCACAAAGTCTCAATCTCAGAAATTTTCAGCGTATCACATATGAACCACTTCCTAGTGATTCACAATCTATTATTGTGTTAAAGAGAGAGGACTTTGTAGATGACCTAGATCACATAAATACGCGCCAACACAACCAGGTCTGTTTTTATGCTGAGATAGATTTCTCCGGGTATCACAACAGCAAAGGGGTATTGAACCTTCTGAAGCGAGTACCTGCAGAAATATACTTCTCAATTAATCCAAAAAATGAAATGTATCACATTTTTCACTCGTCTGGCATGAAAATGTCCATCAGAAGCTTAATCTCGCATCCCGAGGTCACTAGAATCTACTCGCTTTCGCAATCTCTGCTTTTCGATCTAATTCTTGGCCATAACGCGATATCTACACCGCCTTTTGCAGCTGGATTCTGTATAGAACCTTCTATTGTGCCCGCTGAAGCGGATGCTATCGAAAACGATCCGCTTCATTTTGTCGAAAATGATCTATTCCGAAAATTGGTGACCTCCATTTCCCAGTTTGCATCATCAGTATCATCCTTACCCGGAGATCGCCAAGGACGAGCCTATTTGATCCAAGGTGCGCCCTCTAGCGGTAAAAGCACACTTTTGAAAACCATTGACAAGAAGCTCTACGGCTCCAGAGATCGCATATGTAAACATACACCTGTTTTTACGTAGATTGCTTGTATTTTGATATGCGCGCTGCTTTACTTGATGGAGGCTTTGGACATTGTTGGAAGAAAGTGATCCGCCTTTATAAAGACGCACTCTTTCATTCCCCATCACTGATCCTAATTGATAATGTGGATGTATTTTTTTCTGGAGAGACCGAAATGGTAGTTTGTAGGCTTGCTTATTTTAGGAGTCGCAGCCTTTCGTAAGATTTGCAGCACAAAAATTTTGTTATTATTTGGGACTGAAAAATCTGATCACCATCTGTACTTGTAGAGCTAAGCCGTTTCCCCTGCTTTCAAAAAGCGCATTTCTCGCCATTTTTTGTATGGAATCTATGTCGGAAGCGGAAGTATCACATGCGCTTTGTGTATATGGTCGTCTTGCACGGGAAAACATCTCTGTCTGTTCAAAGATATTGCGAGGAATCTCGCTGAAAGACTTTTCGCTACTCCTTTGTTCGCTCCCCCGTTGTGGAGAAATCTCCATTGTGTCTCTACTCTCCACAAGGCTTTCTCTTCGGGGGCATACAGATACACTCAGCGACCCACATGCTTTCGATCATCCAACTACTTCGGCCGGCGATGGTGGAAACATGAAGCTTGTGGAATGGTCCGCAATTGGTGGTCTTGATGAAATTGTTGCTGTTCTCAGGTCGATTGTACTTCGCCCCCTAACTCTTCCCTTCTTCTACAGAAATCTTCCATTAAAACTCCCCACCGGTGTATTGCTCTACGGGTTTCCAGGATGTGGGAAGACATTAATTGCAAGAGCCATTAGGCACAATGTCAAATCGCTTGAGGTCCACTTTATCTACATCAAAGGACCTGAACTTCTTGGAAAGTATATTGGAGAGTCAGAACAAGCCATCAGAGATCTTTTCAAACGGGCCAGAGAAAACGCCCCTACCATCATCTTCTTTGACGAGTTTGAATCGATTGTTCCCAGACGGTATTGTTTACATTTTCTCATATAGTGGCGCTGGAATTTCCGAAGTCACAGACCGAGTTGTGAATCAGTTTCTGACGGAAATGGATGGCGTTGAAGGAGCGCTTTCCAATCTTTTTATTCTTGCTGCCTCAAGGTACGACCATATTTCCGACCAGCATAGTCACCCCRAAATGATTGACTCTGCAATCGTTCGACCTGGGCGAATAGATAGGCATCTTTTCTGTGGACTTCCCAATAGAAGGGAGAGATTAGATGTACCGCTTTTGATGTGGGTTTATTTTCCTAGATCATCGCATTGCTTCTCGCTCGGAGAGTGAGCATCGACGTGCACTTATTTGAACAAATTTGCACTCTTATTGCTGATAAAACGAATTGGTTTACGCCTGCAGACCTGGAATCGCTTATGTTTGAGCTTTGCGATGGTGGTGTGTTTAAATATGAAAACACCGGCGACGGTGCCTTTGATAATGCTCATGCTGATCCAGCTATCATATTGGGAAAGGTATCGCGCGCCATTGAATCGTATTGCTCATCATTGTCTCTGGGAGAGATTCGCAAGTTCCAACAAGGGTTAGTATTTCAAATGTTCCCATTTAATTTCTAATCGACCTCTCAAACTGACATCATTCCCTTAGATACGCAAGGTTCAAAGGTAAAAAGGCGCATCCAGTGTTTACGACACCGCAACCCCAAGAAACCGAGAAAAATGAGAATCAAAATGTCGTAATCACCTATCAAGAAGACGTGATGATTGCCCCAAATTCGGGCGATCACATACCAAAACTGCAAAACCATCCGCAGTTTCTGATTTACAAATAAATTTACGGGGTACATACATAGCGGTTAACAAAATCCAATTTAATGGCAACAATAAAAGCCGAGCCCCCATGTAGAGCTTGTTAAAAGGCTCTTAAATGTCAGACGATAGGGCAGAATCTCTATAATGGCTGAAGGAAAGACATGGTTCTCTCCCTGCTTGAACCGGCATCTCATCTCATCCAACAGGCACCCAAAGATTGGTTAAAGGCTAGAATTCAAACTCTTCAGAGGGCATCTGATATTTTTCCCTTCTGAGCCGGCCATTATCTATGATTGAAGCGGTAGAGCCTTTCACAATCTCGGACTCTTCATAGAGGAGCCAAAAAAGCAAATAGAAAAACACAGAGACAATGGCCGATCCAACGCTGAATGAGTGGCGGTATATTCCTGCGACGGGAGTAAGCCAAGAGTCTGCACTCATGGCCATGAAAAAGAAGACCATATTGACAAAGTCGGTCACCATTCCTGAAACTATTAAAATCAGAAACGAGCGTCGCTTGGTAGCGCGTTCCAATGCAATAAGTGCAATCGATACCAAGATCACAGGAATAGCTTCCTTGACGAGGAAAAGAAATCTTGTCACAAATAACGAATCGCTACCCGTGGCGAGGCGATAAGAGGCAGGAAGTGAAAACGAGGATAGATTGGAAATGCTATCGACGCCGAAAATGGCGAGGTGCTGAAAAAATATGTACATGCATGCCAGTCGAAGGTCATTCCATCCGAGAACCTCTGAGGGCGATGTGCTTTGCATGTCCTCCAAGCTGCGTATTACTCCTTCGATAAAGATCCACAAAAACAGCGTCGCCGCTAAAACTATATAAAACAGCACTTCGGCCCTACAAGATGAAAGCGCAAAAATACCCCAAAGACAAAACGGCAAATGGAAAAAATAGGCCCACAAACAGCACAAGCACCATCAGGAGCAAGTTTGAAGACAGCGACAAGAAAGAGCTCTTAAAAGAAGTGGGGATAAATCGAGAGCTAGAATAGAAATTGGATGCCGCTCGTAGCCGAAAAGGGCTCCTTTTGACCACATTATTCTTCATGGCCGCAACAAAGATGATGGCAGATATGGGGGGTATTACTACAGCCATTAAATTGAAATTGAGTACTGAAAAGAGCCCAGCCTAAAAATCGATTGATCCCCGTCAGTTTGGGCATGGTAAAATATTTGTCAACGTCAAAGTATGTGCCGCCGCTTGGATACCAGCCATGGCTGGCATACTGGTCATTATCTGACTTCACTAGCCAGCCCACGCACATGACAAGCCCAATCTTACACCATAAAGCTTTTAATAAACATACCATAAAAAGGAAAAACCGATTTGCATATCTGCTCCAAGCAATCGATCTGTTTCTGGAAGATATGTACAAAATAAGACAGACAGAAATAATAAGCACCGATAATAATCCCGAATAATACAAGAAAAAGTTGATTTGGGCATCAACCTGTAAGATCGGGAAGATCGAAAATAGAATTGAGCATACAATCCAAAACTTGGAAAGAAAAATCAGCCTGATGCGCTTGCTTGAAATATTTGACCGATTGATAAGATATTTGGCGTCAAAATCGGAAGGCGTGTGGTATATTGGATCTATTTGCATGAAATAAAACGGATTCGAGTATAAAAACGTCAATCCAACCAACATGACGGAAAGAACCCATCGCTCATAATATGCCAGTACAATTCCCAATTGAAAGAGCAAAACTAAAAACAGCTTAAGCATGTTGTCGTAATTAACAAATGGAGAAATCGATGCCATGGCATATTTGTAATTTGAAAAGTTAAAAATCCAAAATCCAAGTGCAAAAAAGTAATAAAAGTAATACGAGACCGGGAAACGCTTCAATAGGAAATAAATGATGGTGATTCCCATGCAAGCCATCAAAGGCTTTGCACAGTTTCTATATGAAGGGTGCTCGAGTCGTGTCTTTTCATTGGAATAGGTGCTTGAAAGCCACATAATGTGTATCAGAGAAAAGAAAATCCATCCCAAATATCCAAGGAAAATCACAATCCTCAAGTGCTGCCATTCGTAAGTGTACAAATATTTTAAGCCGTCAAGAAGCTGTGCAAATAAAGATTGCATCTCATCCTCCGTAAACTCATCCTGGCCATTTAATGAATCATAGACGCTTTTTCCACAAAATTCGGAGATATTTGCGATTTTTGATCCATTGATTGCCGAAAAGGAATATGGTTTGAAAAAGACATGATTCGCAGACACAATTTGCTCCAATTGTGAAAATTGATTAAACAACTGCTTGGCATTAATGAAAAGGGCCTGCAACTTATCTGCTGGCTTCTTGAAGTTGATAAATTTTACTGGAAGACGGCCGATTGAATTTACTGGAATCGGTATGCCCAACAGAAAGGAGACTAAAGAGGCAACATCAACCTGGTCAATATCTTGCTTTTGAACAGACTTGAGCAACACATCCATGCCCTTGTTACTACCGGTAGCAGATAGATTAGGAAGAAGAACTGGTTTGTTAATTCCATCTCCCCATGCAACAAATGGGATTTGAGGGTCATCTGACGCTTTATAGGCCCCATTTCCAGCAGAGGTGAGTATGAACGTTGATCGATTATCATTTGCAAATAGTTTGGCAAATTTCAGCGTAACTTTCCGAAGTTGCGTGTCCAAATACGCAATGTTCTCGAAAAGTCTAAAGTAAAAATGGTGCACACAAACTCTTTTGAATCTTCCCCATGAAGACGGCTGGTCATTTTAAGACCTGAAAGGTGGAACACGAAAATTTCCCCGGCGCCAAAATTCTGTTTCAATTGATCACTTCCCATTTCCTGGGTAATATACCGTTCAAAGCGGTGAAATATCCACTCATCAAGTAGCCGTCCATCTACGTGTATGATTTAATATCAAAAATATAGATACCGTTCTGCAAGGCCTCTCGATTCATTTCAAAAGACGCTGAAAAGATTTTGGCCCGATCCTTTACAAAATCAAGCGGTTTTGGGGGCGAGCCAAAAACCCATGACCTGGAACTTTGATTGAATACAGAATCCACCGGAATGGTGCCCTTTATTTCTCCAGTGGGTTGAATGCCCGTAAACATGGTGTTCGTGTCATCAAACTTGTTCATAGGCCTGGATACGAGCCCCCACGTGCCTTCCCGAAGCGACTGCTCCGCTATAAAAGGTGCCAAAAAGGTTCCATTTTCTCCTGTAAATGAGAAAAGCTGTTCAGCCCTAAGGCAATCCACTAAGAAAATCACAACACGGGTGGAGGGTGCAGGTATATTCCACCTTGGGATAGTGGAAATGCTTGAGGCAATCGGAGATTCGTTGCAATAAATGTCAGAGATCGAATTGTACAATATCAAGTGGAATATGATTCCAATTCCCAAAACCAAAAAGGCGATTTTGTAGCATAGCACATGTTGTTTCCTTTCAATGCTGTTCATGGTATAGAATTAAAATTTATGTCGATGATCTTGTGGGTTAAACTTGAGTATCAGTATCTTTGCAAGCCCCAACCCTAGTGGTGACGAAATAATTTTTATTTTCTAAATTTATAAATTAAATAGGCCTTTGCTCCTGCTGTTGGCCTTGAATAGCTTGTATTTCACCAGAATTTTCTCAAGAAGAAGGGCGCTTTCATCCGAATTTTCAAGCTCCAATTTTGAAAGTAGCATAGCAATGGACAGTGCGTTCCCCCGTAACTTGGCGTCGTTGGGGCAATTTAGAATGTCGCTCGCCAAATTGGCCAGCTGCGTGGACATTTGAAATCCAGCATCAAATCCTTGCCTAAACAAATCCTGGCTCTTTTCCTGGTGTCCCGCAGAATAGCCATCCTTATATGCATCGGAGATGGCCATGGAATCTGCGAGGAGCGCTTCTTCAAAAATATCTCCTTCATTCATGGCCCCCCAGTTTCTCTATCAAAGTCAAGGAAAATTAATAAAATTTGGTCACAACATTTAAACACAACTTTTTGCATTCCTCGTTTTCTTCTTTCCCTGATATGGCATCATCGTCGCCGGCATCGTTTATATCCACTCGCCTGAAAGAAGAATTTCAGGGCCTCAATTCGTCGGACGGGCCCCTCTCTGGGGAGGAAGATTATGAATGGGATGAACTCGACGCGCTGGGTGAGTTAGCAACCCTTTCGGAATCCCACCGCCAATCCATCATTAATACAGAGATAAGCAAAGAAGATGATCTCGAAACAGATCCTGTCCCCGTATGCCAATGGAACTTGTGCGGCATCCAGCTCTCAGATTTGAAGGAATTGGTGACCCATATTTCTGAGGATCATGTCCAAAGAAGCACCGGTGCAAAAGCAGATGTAACTCCCTGGGCATGCGAATGGGAGGGATGTCCTAGGAAAAGCATTCCACATTCTTCCAGAAATGCCCTGATCAGCCATATGCGTGGACACACAGGGGAAAAGCCATTTTCTTGTCCGAAATGTCCTAAAAGATTTCCCAGGGCAGATGCGATGCAAAAGCACATAAGAAACCACCACCACCAACAACCTTTGCCTTTACCCTCAACATCGACATCCAAATCTGGTTCAAAAAAATCGGCAACAAAAAAAAATTTCGCCGATAGCTCTTCAAAAGCACCCGCCTCGTCATCGCCGCTAGCCCCAATGGACCCTATCTCAGTATCTTATCCTGCAAGTAACGATGCTGTATCCTCTATTTCATTTGAGGCGCCATCATCAAGTATTCCATCAGAACTATCACCACAGAAACTCCAGGAAATTGGCACTTGGTTGGAATCTGTTTTTGATGGCATGCCTCTTTTTACTGTAAGGGCTAATCATGAAACGGCCGAGGGCCAGTTTGACGAAAAAGATGGTGATTGTGCTAGTAATGGCAGAAATTTGAGTTTATTGCAAGTAAGTTATAACAGTGAAGATATTAACGACCTCGACAAGCGACTGCTGGCCCAGTATTATGTCTCCATGCAAGAACGGCATTTTCTCTTGTTCGAACTGCAGCAGATGCATGCAAAAGCAACTACATTAGCGGCCCAGATTACTGAGTGCCGGGGAGCCCTGGATCGATGGGGAAAACAAAATGCCCACCTTTCATCCCCATGATTTCGACAATGATAATGACGATGATGATGATGATGTTAATAATGATGACAATAGTAGTTGTGATGATCCTGCAATTTGATTGTATTAATAAAGTTCAACAACAATGCTCGCTCATTGCGCGCGGACAAGCTTCCACGGATAGCAAATAGCCGATTGACCAAGCATTTCGGTATTGGCGCTGGATCAATTATTTATCGAATCAGCGGGAAAACGTTGGCATGTATCATGCGAGTTGGAGCCTTGTGCGACGTCTATAACCTTTTGTAGGCAATCATCACTTGCAATACGGGGCGTTTTATGCAACTCGGATGAATTTTCATCGATACTATCTGTACCGCAATTTACAGGGGTTTCGCTGGTCGAAAATGGTCCTATGTCAATAGGACCATTTATATTTTGTGTTGGATTTTCCAGGGAAATCGAATCAGGTTGAGGCGTGGAGACTGGTGCTGGAGTGAAAGGATTCGCAGTATTCTCAATTGAGGACGGCTCAAGGTCAACATCCTCTGAAGGGCAATTTACTTTACAACTAGTGCCGTCTTGATGGGCATTCATATTTGAGTTGAATATATTTCCAGAGGGATCCGGACATGGCGGATTATATGCTGTACCTGTGGGATATGAAGAGGGAAACGGATTTTTTGATGTAGCATTATCATTTGAATTCATCAGGGGGCTTCCCTCTGCCAATCTTGTCGAAAGCGGTGGGCTAACAACACGAGGCTTCAACTCCATATATTTGAATGGATACCGGCTGGAATTAAACAGCCCATAATTGGTGCTCAATGACAATGAAAGCTTTCTCGATGGCACTGGGGCAGCGAGCTTATAGTGTGCAGCGTGAGCAGCCTTAGCAGTAACGGGCTCATACCCAAAATTAAATGAAGAAAGAGTGATTGGAAGTGAAGCTTTGCGTCCTGGCACTGGTCCTTTTGGGAAAACATGGTGCGAAGGTGGCGATGAGATCGGACTAGAAATAGATGCTGATGATGGCAATGCTGGCGTCGGTGTGAATGAAAATGTGGGAAAATCGACTAAAGACGAGCATGTGATAGCTTCACTTTTTACAAAACGATGAAGAGCATAAGTATCGGCATACAAGTCAAAAAAAAGCCTCACTTCTAACTCGGAATTCAAAGGAATCAAAGTAGATGGTAAGGGAATCGAAGTAGATGGTAAAGGAATCGAAGTAGATGGCAAAGGAATCGAAGTAGATGGCAAAGGAATCTGTTCAGTAGAACTCGATGGGGAGGATGGCGTAG